GCCGGCGCCGCCGCAGGCGCTGGCGCCGCCGCCGCCGCGCCCTCCGCCGCGCCCGCCTCCGCGCCCGCGCCCCGCCGCGGCGTGGGGCAGTCCCTGGTTAGACGCGCGATCGGGCCGGCGGCGGCGGGCCTCGTCGCGCGCGTGCGGCTGTTTGACGCGCATCTAGCCGCGGCCCTCGGCCGCGGCGTCGACCAGGTTGTGGTGCTGGCCGCCGGCTTTGACTCGTCGGCGTACCGCTTCAGGGGCGATTTTCCCGGCGTGAAGTTCTTCGAGGTCGACCTGCCGCACGTCTCGCGGCGCAAGCAAGAGCTGGTCGCGCGCTGCCTGCCGCCCGGCGCCATGGAGGGCGTGTCCTTCGTGGGAGCCGACCTTGCCGTTACGCCGCTCGCGGACGCGCTGCTGCCGGCCGGGTTTGACCGGTCAAAGCCGGCGGTCTGGCTGGCGCAGGGCCTGTTCATGTACATCCCTGCGGCCGGCGTCGCCGCGCTGCTGCGCGGGGCGCGCGCGCTGAGCGCGCCGGGCAGCAGCCTGGTGTTTGACGCCATCAACGCCGCCCGTGTGCCGTGGGCGGGGCCTCCGCCGGCGGCGGCCGCGGCCGGCGGCGGCCGCGGCCTAGGGGCCGGCGTGCGCGACCTGTTCGCGTTCGAAGCAATCAAGGCCATGACAGATGCCGTCGGGGAGACGTTCTATTCGTGCATGTATGCGAGTCCCAAGGCAGCGGGTGCGCTGGCTGCCGCGCTCGGGTTCCGCAGCGAGCGCGTGACGCTGCTGCACGAGGCGGTGGCGCGGCACGTGGGCGCTGGCGCCCCGGCGCCTTCGGGCGTGAACGTGATGCTTGCGTGCTTCGAGTGGGCCGCGGAGTGAGCGCGCGGCCGCGCCACTTGTACCCTTTCGTCCCTTTGCTGCCTCCTCACCGGCCTCGGTGCCCTGGGGCGACGAGCCAAATCTTGAACTTTGCTGCGCGGTGCGGGGCGGCGGGTCGCGGGGTGAGAAGCTGTGCGTGCTGCAACGATGCACCTTTGCCCGAAACGATCTTGTCCTCAGGCCTTGTGGGTGTCCTTGTGTATAACTTCTAGTTGTGCCATCATGGCATGCACAGCAACGTTTTGACTTTCTATGGTTGATGGTGTCCGATTCCTCTTCTGCATGACGCCGGCGTGTGGCTGCAGGAGCTGCTGCTCGCTGCGGCTGTGCAGCTTAACCTTGTGTATGGGCATTGTGAAGCTGACCATGATCACGGCTATTTGCTGCCATGCACAGGGTTGATGCAACTTTCCCGCGTCCAAGCGCACGCACGTCGGCTGGCCAAAAGCTGGAATGGGTGATTGGTACGGCCTGGTGTTTGGATTGATCTATGGGCTGGCTGACTCTCAGTTGCACTCAGCAATTGATTCTTCAGTTGCACTCAGCATTTAATTCGTCGGTAGAATTTGGTTTTAGGGGGCTGTGTTGCGCAACACCATCATCGGCAGACTTGCGGCAGGCCTTACCCAGTCTGCAATCTGCCCTGCAAGTAATTCTGAGGTCTCCACAGTCGACTGCCTTCCAGCGTATCCACCTTGCTTTAGCCAGCAACCCCCCAGACTCAGCTCTAAGTTCCAATGCAGCGGCTGCACAAGCTGCATTGCAGTGAATGGTGGGACCGGCGACGCAGGCACCTGTCCAGTATTCAAGCGCTCAAGCATGTCCTGGGCGGTGTCAGCTGGCAACTTAAGCGCCTGACATGAGACTTCAGCCACACAGCTGGCGGCCCTGCAACCCCTGCTGCTGCTGCTGCCGCTGCTCCTAACACTGCTGCTGCTGCTGCCGCTGCTCCTAACACTGCCGCTCCTGCTGCTGCTGCTGCCAATACTGCAACGCTTTGCTGGCGGCGCGCCTGGTCGACCCAGCGGCAGTGAGGGCCCAAACAGGGTGCAGGAGCCAGCAGGAGGGTTTTGAGGACGCGTTACACCGTGGGTGAGTGGCGGCCCGAGCTGCAGCGCCGGCTCACTCCTTGGTGATGAGGCCCCTCTCGCTGACGTAGACGCCGTCCAGGAACTTGCGGATGTCCTTGTTCTTGACCAGGCACACCTGCAGGATGGAGGGGGGCAGGGTGGGGGGACACGCCGCGTTGCGGAGCTGGAGGGGCATGCGGCGTAGCGCGAACAGAGAGGCTAGGAGGGGACCGCGCCGTCAAAACACGGCTGGAGGCGCACCCCAAAAACCGGGCCGTCCGGCTGCCGCGGCAAGCGTGGCCCCCAGGGCCCAGGCGGCCGCGGCGTACGGCGAGCAGTGCGCTCCACGCGGGCGCGCGCGAGCGCGCGCAGTGCGCGCACCTGGTGGATGAGCGCGGCGCTGCGGCTGACGTTCTCGATGTCGTTGCCCGTGAGCACGAGCTCGTCCTTCACGCCGGTCGACCGCTCGATCGTCACGCCGGGCAGCATGTTCACCACGCGCACGCGCTTCTCCCCGAGGAAGTTGCGCAGCTCGATGATCGTGCCCTTGTTCTCGATGTTGGCGTTGATGGGGAAATGCGCGTACACGAGGCGCATCTTGTACTCAAAGCCCTTGGTCACGCCCGTGATCATGTTCTGCACGTGGCTGACGGCGGTGCGGATCGCTGCCAGGCGCTTCTTCTTGCCGAAGTGGCAGTCCACCTGTGGGGCGGCGAGGCGTGCGTGTGCATGCGTGTGTGTACGCGCGTGCGGGTGCTTGTGGCCAAGAATAAAACGAGACCCGCATGCCCTGCCTGCTGCGGCGCCCCAGCTAGAGTGGCCGCGGCTCCGCCACTGCCCAGTCCCGCATCCCGCACACGCCGCCGCCGCTGCCACGCCGCGGAGCATGAGCCCGCTCCCCTCCTGGACGCAGCGCCACCCCCTGCCCGCACAGCCGACCCGGGTCCACGCCCTCCCCGTGACGCTCCGCCGCAGCGCCCTGATCCATCGGCAAATCACGGCCCCTTGCGCGCCCCAGCCCCCCCCCCCCGGGCCTCACGTTGAGCTTCTTCTCGCCCTCCTCCTCAACCAGGAACATGTCGACCGCCAGGTGCCGGAAATCGCGGTGCAGCACGCCGCGGGGGCCCTTGACGCGCACGCGGCGGCCCTTGACCTCGATCTCGATCCCCTTCAGTGGTGGGCAGTGGGGTGGAGAGCGGGACGTCAGGCTTTGGCTGTGGGGCTGCGCATTCCTGTCAGCAGGTCGAGCATACGCAACAAGGCCAGCCTGCGCTGCTGCTCCTGCTGCTGTTAGCACGCTGCGACTCCTGCTCCTGCATTGCTGCTGTTGCCGGTGCTGCTGCTGTTGCCATTGCTGCTGCGGCGGCCGCTGCCGCCACTGCTGGCGCTGCCGCAGGGGCCGCCGCGCTGCGCCGTGCTTCGCTGGTCAATGTCAGCTGCCGCCAACTGAGCTGCTCGCCAGGCTAAACAAGCATTGAGGTGAAGCTCACTCCATACAGCCGCCATAGATGCAGTTGCGCTGCCGATTGCAGCTGACTTCAACTTGCAGCCGACGAACAGCCCCTGGCCAACAAACAGGACCATTCTGCGCATCATGCCACATTTGCCGCCGTGCCAAGGACCCTCAAAATCTCCGTGAAAATTCCTGTCCCCGCCCCATGGCATTCGCAACTCATGGTTCAGAATCGCTGCACACACCTTGGGGATCGTGACCGTCCTGTGCAGCACACACGCAGCATGAGCAACGGCAGAGGCGGCGGCGGCATTAGGCGCAAGCGCAGCAACAACGTTCTGCGTCGTCTGGCCGCTGGAACCGGCGGCTCGTAGTGCACAAGCATAAACGACGCTTAGAGCGGTCTGTGAAGGCTCAGCGAGGGCCGTGCAGCACCAGCTGCCGCGCTGTGCGATCCCTCGGTGCAGGCAGCACCTGCTGCCCTGCACCTTCTGCTGTGATAATGCAAGCAGCATGTTTGAGCGTCACTGACGACTGCGTTTCGCTCGCTCTGCGCGCAGCCTGTCCTGCACGGCCGCCCCAGACCGCTTGCCCACCTGCTCGACACGAGGAGCTTCATTGTGTAATGTTACGCCCCAGCTGCAGCACGCCGTGCCGTGGAAAGAGGGAGGGCAGCCGGACGCACCACGCCTTGTGCGGGGCACTGGGAGACAGCGGGGCGGCCCCTCGCATATGAGCATGCAGCTCAAAAAGTATGCCCTTTACAGCACAAAAGCGATTATCAACAGCTTCGGCTGCGGTGTAGAGCCGTCTGGGACTTCGATCACACCAGGACCAACAGAGCGAACGTGCAACAGGTGCTGGCACCGCCTGCTCCTGCCATCCCAGCCTTGTGGGCCGTTGCACCCCCCCTCCCCAATAGTGCAGATACGATGCTTTCAAGCATCAAGAATGCCGCAGCCTGCTGTCCCAGCTGCGCGTGCTCTGCTTGATTTGCATGCACCTCCTGACCGTTGTGCTAAGGCAACAGCGCAATGCACAGAGCAGCAATGCGCCACAACCCTAGGATTCCTCGTTACTCGGACTGCGCAGCTTCTGTTCATTCAGATGCATAATATGAGCCCAAGTAATGTGTGCACAGCATGCGTCCAGCCAATGAATCCCTGCAGGCATACGGAGGCCCCCCTTGGTTTCTGTGCAGGCCGATGCTTGCAGCCCGGCCGCCAGTGACGGCGCCCTAGTCCGCCTTGACCGCGCCCATTATGAAGTAGACAAACGCGCCGCTGGCCAGGAACCCGACCGCGCCCATACCAAAGTAGATCCCACTGATAAATATCGACATGTAGCTCGCGTACACGAGCACCGGCAGGAAGCCAGACATGCTGCCCAGCGTCGTGTACAGAAACCAGACCGCGTAGCCGGCCACGTACAGCGAGACGCAGCCGCCGCGGTGGAACGCGCGCCACCACCAGCTGTGGTCCTCAGCGCACAGCTGGATGTAGGTGCAGAGGATCGAGATCTCGACGGTCACGACGATCGTGAGGAGGCCGATGGCCAGGACAAAGAAGAACAGGTAGTAAAAGAAGCCCAGCCAGACGCTGGTCATGGCGAACTGGGGGGGGCGCAGGGGGAGGGG